CGACATGTGTTCTGCTTCAAAGCCAAGTGATTTCTTTAATCAGGGTATTAACAACCTGATTGTAAAATGGAAAAGCATCATCGATAAGAATGGAGACTATTTCATTTACTAAATCTTTTGTTTTGATATATAAGTTGTTTGGGTTTTTCATCTAAAAAAAAGCGACATTATTTTCTTGACGACCTAATATATATACCTATCCTATTGCTGGGACCCAAATGATTAATCACAACTGTTACACTTTGTTCAATTAACATTTTATTACAGTTTGCAGAATTTCTAAAGTCTGATGAACAGTTAACAGATACTGGATATCTTATTATAAAATTTCCCAAATGTAATGCCTCCTGAACATAAATTATCAGATCAATAGGTACTGTCGTGTATAAATCATGAAAATATTTTAAATGGTTTGTTGTGATCTACATTACGAAAAGTGTTTATAAATTAAAAAAAAAAAAATGTGGTTATAATTTTTGGGGTTTTAGGTAAAATAAAGTGGTAAACGTATATCTATTTGCTGATTTGTCGTTAACATATGCATTATATTTTGGAGAAAAGAAAAGTGAAATCATGGAGGTCATTTATTTAATTCAATTTAAACTTCCAATGTCATTCTGCTAGAATGACCTACTTATTTTGCATTTAAACCCCAAGTAATATTATAACCACCCTGTGTTTGCTTTATAGCCCTGAAGACTCATCAGTAAGCCTGAGGGCTTATAACGCCAAAAATTGGGTTTTGATACCCACGGTGGCCAGAGCACGAATACCCCATTGTGTAGCTTTGTGTTCAACAACAAACAAACAAAAAACTGTTTTTTTTTAGCACGAAACGAACTTGAACTGAGATAAACTGCCAGTTTGAATTCCACGTATCAAATGGAAAATATGTAGTGTTGTAAGCTATATTTTTAATATTGTAATTTGTTAGCTAGAGGGCGTAGAAAGCCTAGAAAGTTCGAAAGATATGACGTCAAGTTTTCTCCAGTATGACTTGAAGCGTCATGATGTTGGTTATAGAGAAATTTGTTTCAATAAGATAGTTGTTTGTTTTTAAGATAAAATGAACTGTTATGACGAGAAGGTATCATGGAAGTCATGTCAGGCTTAATTCGAAATCATTTCCAGAGTGAATTTGTGGAATAGTGAATAAGCCACCCATCTTGCTACCCTTGTAAAAGGTTTGTTTGTTTGAAGTTAAGCACAAAGCTACACAATCTGTGCTCTTCTCACCACGAGTATCGAAACCCGGTTTCTAACAACGTAAGTCCGCAGACATAACGCTAGTGCCACTGGGGGCCCTTCTAAAAGAACCAGCTTTAACAACATTAAGTAACCTTCTACAGGAGAATCGTAACAATTACCAAACATTGGTGGCTGCCTTATCCAACACGTTTGGAGCATCACGCCAGAAAAGAGTATCCAGAATAAATTTCTGGAAAAAGGTACAAAGAAAGAAGATGCTTAAATGAACTCGCGGTAAACCTAGAAAGGCTTGTCCAATTATCTTACCCAGACACTTCTCGCATAATGATGGATTCGTTGGCTCATGACCAATTTACAGACATTATAACAGACGAGAATATGAAGATCAGGATGATGTAAAGTAGATTTGCGTTATATATCTCGAGGTTACGGACTCCTCTACGTTAAATGAGAATTACCAGTCATGTGGGTAGTACCAGCCACTATGGGTAAATCAGACATTTCTCGTTAAGCAAGAAAAATTAGATTTAAAACAGTATATACGGGATCTCAAGTGAGTTGGAGCTGGTTGATGGTTTGTTTGTAATTAAGCACAAAGCTACACAATGGGCTATCTGTGCTCTGCCAACCACGGGTATCGAAACTCGGATTCTTGCGTTGTAAGTCCGCAGACATACCGCTGTGCCACTGGGGGGTCCTGGTTGATGGAAAGACATCTCAAGGGAAGAAAACCAACTGCCCAATTCACAAATCCAGTGAAAGGCGACCACCCAGTAAGGTTAGCATGCACACTATTTGTGTCTTGATCACTAAATACAGATTGTTTATATTTTGTGTTACACATCATGTCTCTTCATCTAGTCTCATTATTTCTTAGCTTAAACTCACTCAATTTAATTATATTTAGTATCATTTTGTTATCTATGCTGCTGACCCTGCCTTTATAGAGAGGACCTAACTGGTACCCTTTGAGGACATCAGTTGAACCTGAGAATATCACATCTTGAACTAATGTTTTTTCGTAACTCTGTAACTTTTATATATTCTTCTTGTAATTCGTCTCTTAAATGTCTTTCTCTTTCTTCTTGATCTTCTTCCCACTGTTTCATCGTTTTCATTAAAATTTCGATCTTCTTTTGGATTATTCAGTTAAAAAAATGCATGGTTCAGTCCACATAATGATAAAAGCATTATATTTCTTTGACTACAAGTTCTACAAACTGATTTAAGGTTCTCTAAGCAATGTGGTAAACACTTATTTGCTAGTTTTCTCTCGTACCTACAGCTTTAACTGGCATCTCTAGTACTTCCTTGAAACACATTTCTAAATTTACCATGCTAAAATAATTACATGGCTGAATGAATCAACACTTTTTCCACCCTACTCTTCCCTAAGTCTGTATACTTTCAAATAATTTCCTACAATTTCCAGAAAATTCCAGACGCTAAGCCACACGCTCAAAACATGAAATCAGGCGAAACAATAATACAAACGCCTAAATATTTGAAAAATATTAATCTACAACAGTATTAGCTCTCAAGTTACCCACTTGTGTTCATACCACTCACTACAAGTTGGAGCCACGTTTGTCATCATATTCATTAATTTTAAGCTTTTACAGAGTGTAAAGAATGATAAAAAATGTATTGCTTGAAATCTCTAAGAAACCCCATAAATAAATTCTGAAAATAAGTGCAAAAGTGTAAAATGCATACTTGAATTTAATATTACTGCAGTTAAAAGTTATATATTCCTAACTGTAGGTATGCAGTTTGTTTATCATAATATCATGGTCACGTCACCGTAGGCATCAATGTAGTGTAACTAAAAGCCTTGGATTTACGTACAAGGAAAACCAAGTATAGT